CTTTACACTGTGAAAAAAAATCACAAAAAATTGGTTAACATTACCAAATTCAAACTTGAAAAGGAATCAAAGTTATTTCTGTTTAATATTACAGTGCCATGGTTGATATTTTCAACAATGATTTAGTAATATTAAACATACTTTTGTTTACATTAAACAAATTTTTGTTTGTATTCTGCACTTCATAGATGCTTTTTAAAATTCGGAGATATAAAACAGAAATGTATAATATAATTTTAACATGTAGCCTCTGGCGGGATTTGAACCAGAATTATCTGAAATTTAGAAAATAACAGCAAGCATCTCTGCACGCTCAGCTACAGCAGTTCTGTGAATTTACCCTCAAATGTTGAACTTGAATAAATTTTCTTCGACGTTCGATCGTGCTCTTCACTTCACGGATGCTTTTTCGTAATACAAAAAAACAACAACAAAAAAATTACACATTCGAACGCAAACCTGCTGGAAGCCAAGCAATAACAGCAAGCATCTCTGCACGTTTAGCTACAACCAGACATACAAATGTGTTCTTACAATCGGTGTATTTACCGTGAAAAAAATCAAACAATAACTTGGTTGAAGAAACCATTGGACTTTTGGCTCAGTGTAGTCAGATGCAACCATTTGTTGGCAACAGTCAACTAACGTCAAGCGGTCTTTCATTAAGCCAATGCGTACTGTCACACACCTATTTAGTCAAACAAACCTTTTTTATTCACTGAAACTATCGAACAGATCGATCCTCTATATACCTATAATTTGGCACCTATTTTTTTTTTTGTTTTCGTACATAAATATAAACTATGCAGCAACGATCTACATCGCCAGTAGAAGCTGTTAGCGGGTTCAAAAACCATCTTTTAGGGTCGAAACATAGTGGAGCGGAGAGCTGAGCGAAGAGCTAGCATCGAGCAAAGCTTCAATAAAGCTGATGTCACATAAAACTTTTGCTTCGCTTTACGTGACAGATTCGCTTTGACAGATAAGATGAATTGTATGAAAATGCACAAAGCATGCCACATAAATCGTTGAAGCGGCAGCGCGAAGCGAAAAGATGGTCAACTCCCATCTTTTTGCGCGCTTTGACAATCAGCCGGTTTAATATTTATTTTGTTTCGTCCAAATTCGGGTTTTCATGCAGAAACATAAAACTTAATTACATTGCTGATAATTTTAAATCAAAATAATTAAAATCCACAGCAACTTTGATGAGTANTACAAAGTTTTATCTGGCATCAGCTTAACAAACGTGTATGTACGCTTTGCTCTTCACTATGCGCTCTCCCATTGACACATATGCGCATCGTTGCCAGGTTGACGTTTTTAACGTCATTTGGACGTTTTTTGTATCCCGTTGACGTTTGGACGTTTTTTGTTTAAAAAATGACGTTTTTTAACTTCCCAGTAAATTTTCTCTTTGACGGTAAGGTTCTTGTAAGTAGAACTGATTTTGAATTACTTTCTTAAAAAATCTTTACAAGCTTTGTGTTTTGCAGCAGCTGCTTCAAAATATATTTATTCTTTGGACACAGATGACTTAAATATGATGCAAGCCAAGCGTACGCGCACTTTTTTTTTTATCTTGGACTAAGGATCCCGTGTTCAAAGGCTGGTTGTGTAAACACTTGAGGTTACGAGGCTTATTGTAATGCTTGCAATAGGCACATTAAAAGCCAAATCAGGAAAAGCTGATCTATTGCAACACGCACGCCAGCAAAAGCATCAAAAAAGCTGTAGCGGCATAACAAGTCAGAAAAAACTAGGCGACTTTTTTAAGACTTCATTGAAAATGTAACGAACGCAAAAAAGGCTGAAATATAGCTATGCTCCTTCTTAGCAGAATGTAATTTAGCATTTTCGACCACCGACCCCCTAACCAAATGCCTACAAGAAAAAAAAAATTATTAAAAATCAACGCGAATATTTAGCCCATTCAAACTTGCACGTTATTGCCCTGAAATTTAATGCGCTATCAAACTGCATACTCAAAAAAAATNAGCTATGCTCCTTCTTAGCAGAATGTAATTTAGCATTTTCGACCACCGACCCCCTAACCAAATGCCTACAAGAAAAAAAAAATTATTAAAAATCAACGCGAATATTTAGCCCATTCAAACTTGCACGTTATTGCCCTGAAATTTAATGCGCTATCAAACTGCATACTCAAAAAAAATTCTAAAAAATCTGAATAAAAAGTTGAAAATCTAGCTGAAACTTTACAGATTTTTTATAACTTTAGCACAAAGTTTGAAATGTGGATTTATATTTTGTTTGTTATATAATCAGCTTGAGCTTTTATAGAAAAATAATAAACATTAAATTAACAAAAGAGAAACAGCCAAAATCGATCGAAATTTTGTTGACTTAATCAGCTGGTCACAAGTATATGTATAAAATGATTTTTATATTAACGATCTCAAACCAGTTTACAATGAATTTTAAATGTGCTCTGTCGAAATGACATTTTAATATGCCTTACGTACATATCTATGTACCTTTGTATGCAATAAAAGTTTATTAAGACGAATTTTTTGTACATTGATTTGAAAAAGACGTTTTTGGGTAGGAAATTACCATTTTTCAGACCAAGAGGGACGTTTTCTCATGCCGAAAACCTGGCAACACTGCATATGCGTTTTAAATCGACGCTTTGCTCGATGCTCTTTGCTCACCACTATGTTTTTACCCTTAGAGGTACTGACTGCACTGCACGAAAAATGTTTCACCAATTTCTTTGTGCTAAGGGTGCAAAATTGTACAAGTCATGCTGGACAATATTTTGCTTACCCGTATAAGAAAATATTTTAATCAACAAAACTTATTTTCTCCTTAGCTAGACTACTTATTTTTAGTGCCGCTCGTATTAATATGTGATGTACAAAAAATTGAATCTTATCACTCTGTACTATTTTACGCAAAATACTCACCGCAGGACGATACACATTCAAATAAAGGCAGTCCTCTACGCCCGTCTTCTGAGGGGGAAATGCGGAGTAATTCCTTTGTAGACACTCTCTATGTGGCTCTTTCGCTAGAAGTGTGCCATTCCACGGCTCAACTGGTACTGGTACGGGAAAAAACCATTTATTAAATATATTATCCGCGTTTCGTAAACTTTGTATTTCCTTTTTTACCCTAAAACGTAAGTCATCAATAGGCGACTTGGCAAATGGCACGCCATAGAAGGCTTCATATTTTTCTACTTCATTCTCCGGTTTATAAATGCCCTCGATACATCCGAGTGCATCGATACAAACTTCCGGCGCGTCTGCTTTTGTGGTAGTGACATTTAAATAAAATATTAAAACCAAAAAAAGCAGATTATACATTTTGAACAACACTTTCTGAACGAAATCAGGTATATAGTTGATCGCACCGCTATTCATACAATCTTTTATACCACTCTGAATGTACACAATTATGAAATGAAGTACACGTGTAGCTTCCCCTCAAAATGAAATGTCACTATGCTCTCTCAATCTCTCCTACTTTGCAAGTTTTTTGCGTACGCGAACGCAAAAACCTGCTAGTTTTTGATAACTTTCAATAATTAACAGGTACACGAACGCAAATAATAAATAAGTAAAAAAAAAAAAACAATTTGTATAATAGGGATTTATGGCGCAAGCTAAATTATTATAAAACACAATAAATGTAAGATACTAAACAAAGCCAGTTGGTAAATATGTGATTTATTATCACAAAGATTACTGATACAATTTTCTGACGTTTTGAGCTATTTAAATATTTGTATATACATACACATGTATTATACTATTTTTAGTTTGCATCTTGTGCATCTATAAAACAATAAATAAATGTTATTAAATGTATGTAATGAATTATTATTACTTACTTTTAATAGCCTCTAAACATTTCCGCACAAGTATATCACTGGAAAAAGTTATAAAGTAGATAAGATATTTAATATACAAAGTGGGACGGTGAGTCATATCACCAAAGCTTCGCAAATTTTATCCCTCTTTTACCATCCCTCACGGTTAACAGGCGAAGGATATTTTCACCGTAGCGTCGCACAGTGGTTCAAAATTAGCATTTTATGTTTACAATTCACTGGAGTCTTCATTTTTCACTTAATTTGATTGATTTTTTTAAATTTGCAAGAGACCAGTTGAGCCCGCTTTTGAATTTTTGTTTGTTTGTAAACATTTTTTTTTAGTGCAAAATACAGAAAAAGTAGCAGTAGTAGTTGAAGAAACTCGATTCTCGTGTTCCAGTTAATAAATACTACATAATAAAAACGAGTTGAAAACAATTGTAGGGTGCTTTCGAAACGAAAACAAAAATTTCACAAAAAAATTTGAAATGTTTTATACAAAATTTGTACCAAAATTAAAAAAAAAAATTGAGTTTCTAGAAAAATGTAGGGTATGCAAGTGGCTAAGAGTTCACGTTGCCGTGGTCGTCATCAAAAATCTGAGACTTTGTTTTTGTTCTTCACTGGAAGTGGTTTTTATGTGGCGGGTCCCAAACCTAGCGCGCAACCCATTGCTGGAACTGGGATGGTTTCGCAACCAAATAAACGTTTATATAGTGAGCCGCTTGCTCCAAGAAAGAAAACCGCTTGCAGCTGCACCTACTGGTGAATAGACACTGCATACTTCAGTGAGCCATTAAACCGTATAAGTCGGAGTGGCCCCACCAAATTGGTTTAAGATGGAGGGTTAGAAATGATGCATTGGAATCTGGATTCAATCATTGATCCCTTTAGAAACCTACATGTATTAAAGTCCTAATATAAAATCGAAACTGTTACTCTGCTTACTGGGTTGATACAAATGAGGGCAATTTGTTGAAGATCAAATATATAAAAATGTTTATCTAATAGTTTATCTATAATAACTAATAATATAACTAAATGTACACATATACGAAGACACATACATATCACGTCCAGTTAGTTTTCATTTGCCTAATCACTCCCCGAACGGTATAAAAATCTTGATTCAAATTCATATGTTACTTCATTTCTTTTTCAGATCGATTTGAATTGTCGCGGAAATGAAGCTAAACGCTGTGTTGGCAGTATTTGCAGTGCATTGCTTCAATATTGGCCTAGTACGGACGCAATCACCGCAAGTTTGTCTCAATGGCACGTCTTGCGTAATTGGTAAATATATGGAAGGCTTTCAAAAGCGTCTATTCGAAGGCTTTCTAGGCATACCATTTGCCAAACCGCCTATTGGTGATTTACGATTTAGTGTAAGTGCTAGGAAGTAATCCTCCGCGGAAAATCTTACGAACCGCGGATATGTATGTACTTACTTGGCGCATTCATTACAGAATCCTGTAGAATACGGACTTTGGGAAGGCACACTTGCAGCACGAAATCCGAAGCCAGATTGTATACAAAAAGATTACGTGAAGGCGGGGTCCAGTATCCAGGGTTCAGAGGATTGTTTGTACTTGAACGTCTACCGTCCTTTGGTAATATTAATGGATGCATTTCGATGGTACAATTCGAACGAATTTAATAAAGGATTTTATGTTTATATAGAATGTAGGCTATAAGAAGTTACCGGTTTTATTTTACTTGTATGCTGGTGGATTTTCCAGTGGATCGGCTAGTCCTCAAGCCCAAGGGCCGGAATACTTTATGGATACAGACGAAGTTATATTGGTTATACCAGCTTATCGTTTAGGCCCATTTGGTAAAGAATGCATGGACAACATTGAAAACATGAACCAAACTCCCTGTATATATTGTATATTTTGCTTTAACCATAATATTCTTAAATAAATATAGGTTTCCTTAGTACTAACGATGAAGAAATGCCCGGCAATTTCGGCCTCAAGGATCAGAATTTAGCGCTCAAATGGATTCAAAAATATATTTCGGCATTCAGTGGTGATCCTGATCGTGTGACTATCTTTGGGAATAGCGCTGGCGCTGCAGCTGCACATTATCAATTGCTGAGTCCTGCTTCAAAAGGTTTTGTGTAGATATACAAAAAAAAAGAGATCTTATTCATATATGTATAACTACTCCGTACACTATAGATTTATACCGAAACGCTATTTTGGCAAGCGGTGCGGCAATCCTTCCATTTGCTAGACCATTGACAGATCCGAAATCAAGAGCCATAGAATTGGCGGAAGCTGTCGGCATACGAGAAGCTGCATACCTAACTTCGGAAGGATTAGTAAGGGCTTTACGAAAAATAAATCCCTCTGTATTAATAAAAGCTGTCGATAAATTGAAATCATGGTATATCCATCCTTTGGGCATATTCCATCCAGTTATTGAACAAAGCTCATGGAATGGTGCATTTTTAACCGCAGATCCATCGTCATTGAGCATAGAAAAGCCATGGATAATTGGGCATGTAACATCAAAGGGCGAAGGCGGACCCTTGGCAAATCGTCTAATAACTAGTACTTCGTTGCGCGCGCAATTCAATGACAATTTCGACAAATTGTTGGGTGTCATGTTAGAATTTCCTGATACCATTGATAGAGCCGCATTAAATCGGACAATTGAAATGTATATGAATGGTCAACATAAATTAAACGACGAAACATTGGATGGCTTTTGTGAGGTAATAAAACAAAAAAAAAAATTCGAATAACAACTATAACAATACATACTAATACTTATGAACATTATTTGATTAGCTTGTAGGTGACGGCGGTTTTGTTTATCCTATCTACAAAACCATTCAATTCAATGTAAATTCTGCCGTTGCGCAGAATCTAAAAGGCATAATAAGATTCGATTATCGTGGACCGTATTCTTTTTCACAAACATATACGGGCAGCAATGCAAACTATAGTACTGCGCATGGTGATGATTCACTATTCCTGTTTAGGGTACCGGCAGAATTCCCACGGAATTACCCATTAATATCGCCTGAGGCAACTTTGGTAAAACGTTATGTGGGACTTTACGTAGAGTTCGCGAAAACTGGGTTAGTTAATGGGCAAATTTTTGGTTTGCGAACTTTAAGACGACGCGATTTTTATTATTATTTTTTTTGTTTTCAGAAAAGTAAGCGAGCTAGAGGATATTGGCGCATGCACAAGGGCTTCATTTGAGAAGGGCAGCTGTAAATATTTATCAATCGTCAAGAGTCCTGCACTATTCCAGACCGGCAGCACTTGGAATATTAACAAAATGAAATCGTGGGATGATGTATACAAAGTTGGTGCTTCACCTTAACCTTCTGCTACTCCGTCAAATTCACCTTCCAATGATCATCCATGACCCGGTTACAATCCCAGTACTAATATGTAGGTCAACTGAAATGTAGTTTAGAAAAATTTTTGAAAATCTTATATTTATTCCGATTCAATAGTGTTTGAAGTTGTGCACATTAAAAATCATCGGTGCTGAAACTGAAATAAAGAAGTAAGGGCAGTGCTGCCTTTGGCTATGCCGAGCGGCACATACCTTTCAGGAAGATTAGTCAGAAAATTTTACGTTAACCGAATTCTACATTTGAAATAAGTTACTTGGGAGCTAAAAAAAAATTTCACTGCATACGTAGAGGAGTTTTATAAAATAAAGCGCATATGAACATTTGTATGAATGATTTTCAGTACCGCATATGATCGATATGTAAACCGGTAACACAATTTAATGGTATTTGCTACCTGCCTAAAGAGTTTATGTCGCCAAAAGTTGTAACTGAACAATCAGTGGTACATGAGATATACATAGCTTGTACAGCACCGATCTTGACGATTTGCTCCGTAAACTTTGTATGATTACTTAGAAAGTAGCTCACGAAATTGTTCAGTTTTAGCCGTCGAAATGAAGGAGCTTTAAAGTAAAATCCTATATCAGAACAATCAGTTGTGTGGAAGCTATATGTTATAGTGACCCGAACTTTGGCATTTTTACTGTAAACTATTTGTTGATGGGGGTGAGGAAGTTGGTGCCAAATTTCGTGGAGTTATTACAAAAAATCCAATATCTGAACAATCAGTTATGTGGAAGCTATAGGTTATAGTGACCCGATCTTACTCATTTCCGCTGTAAGCTTTCTGTTGACAATTAATGAAAATATTGTGAAATTTCATGTTCCTCGCAGCAGAAATGGATGAGTTATAACAAAAAATCCAATAACTGAACAATCAGTTGTATGGGAGAAATATGTTATAGTGGTCCGATTATAACGATTCCGAGGGCGTATCTAAATACCTTGATTCCAGCGCCATCTATTTTTGGGTCAACTTATTTTGCAGAAGCACTACTCGGACGGATTCTCTAAATATCTCGACTCCAGCGCTATCTGTCGGCACCATTTTTTACGAAAGTATGTTATGCAGAGCAGCCGACGTTGTTTCTGGGTAAACAAATAAAAATATAAAACAGAAATACCAAGCAAGCAGTGAGTGTATACAATCCTAACGGCAAGCTATTTTAAGCTCTGCCCTGATACAACTATGGCATGCATATTCGTAAGTAAGGAGACCGCTCACAAAAACTTGAGATATACTGTTCTTTTCAACTGTGTGTTCCAGGCTCTTCAGCATAAATGCCAGGGCAAAATTAGCCTTCTCCAGTTGTGATAAAATGGTCAAATGTCAGACAGTCCCTAAAAATTCTTATTAGAGCGCATAACAGCTTGTTTCTCACACACTTTTCAGGCTAGGAGTCTTAAATAAAACAAAAGAAGCTAAAGAAAAATTCACTGACTCTATAGTATTCCCGTCGTGCTATCAGGAAAATGGGTTCCAAGAGTGTATAGTGTGTAAGTGTATAAGATCCATCAGACTTTCTTGGAGAGTTAAAACTAACCGTTAGATCTTAGTGTATAGTACATACGTTCTCATAACAACCATTCAACGTAAACGTTACCTAGCGGGTCGCTGCTTCAATTGATTTTAACTTTTTTTTTTAATTTAGGGAGATATGTCATTCTTCTTTTATCAAATACAGAGATTCTTCTTCCAAGACCCCCTTACTTCGTTGAATAAAATTATATTAATCCCTACCATATAGCTAGTTCTCACGAAGGTGACACCGAACATCGTATTTTGTGAATTAGCGTCACATGCCACTAATAGACGCATACCATTTGGAAGGATAGACCGATCTATGGATATAAATATCTCCCTCAAATTTAACAATTGCTCGTCGGTTTCAGAAATTAGAAGTGTCTTATGGCATATAAGGCTCAAGCCACAAAACAACTGAAGACATCTGCTCATTCGCAGTGTCTTTGATACGCTCTATTGCAACAGAGGATTGTCACAGGCGTAATTTCAAATAGGGGTGATCGTTGGACTTTTTATGAAGCAACTTGAATGAGCGATTATGGCTTATTCGTACTTTTCATATAACACATGAGAGTTCGGATAAATCATACAAAACTTCCAGCTTGGAGGTTTAAATTCAAATCACGTCAAAGTTGTAACGATCTCACTTTCTACAATCTGGTATGACGACGAAGTCACGAGTAGTCTGATGGGGAAGTATAGTGACCTCAGAAACATCAGCTATACCTGCTAATACAGCATTTTATTTAAAAAATTTCATAAACCTGTCTTCAAGCTCAAACATAAGTAATTATATACATATGTACTAGGGTATCGATGCTTGAAGAATCGATGTTTCGAAAAATTACATTGATGGTAGTTCGATGTATCGAATTAAAATATCGATGTTTTTACAGAAGTTTCTAGGAAATATTGCACACGATTTTAAATTGGACTTATATAGTTTTTGTTTAACTATTTTTGCAAAACATCGATGTTTTGACTTAACATCGGATTCATAAAAACATCGGCAAACGGCGATGTTTGAAGCCACGACCACGATGATGTTGCTCGATACATCGATGCTTTTTAACATCCCTATTATACACTAATACCGAATATTAACGTTTTAACTATATTTTAGGAGCAATAAAGTTTGAAATCCTTATCTCCATACTAGATACATTTCGTAAGTCACATGCATAAAATTAGTTAATCTATAATGACTATTGAATCTATAGTACAGTATCGACGTACATACATACATACATATATACAAAAACTCATTTGCCTAATCGCTTCCCGAAACGTATAAAAGCCTTAATTCAAATTCACATGCTACCGTATTTCGTTTTCAGATTGCATTCAATTGTCGGGGAATGAAGCGAAACGAATTGTTGCTAGTATTTACGGTGTTTTGGTCCATTATTGGCCAAATACGAACAGAAGCACCAGAAGTTTGCCTCGGACGCTCGAGTTGTGTCGTTGGTAAATATGAGCGAGGCTTTCAAAGAAATCTATACGAAGCTTTTTTGGGCATACCATATGCTAAACCGCCAACTAATGAACTAAGATTCAGTGTAAGTAAAAGGATGGCATGCTCGAAAGGAAATTCTTCTTACGAATCGTATCGAATTTCAGAATCCGCAAGAAGTCCAGCTGTGGAAAGGCACAATTTCTGTTAAAAATCCAAAGCCAGACTGCATACAAAAAGATTATATCGATACCAAAGCTCGCATTAGCGGATCAGAGGATTGTCTGTATTTGAACGTCTACCGTCCCTTGGTAATAGTAATATAAGAAATTTTTTTTGTGTTACCATTGTAACCATAAATTTACCAACTATTTTACCATAGAATTCAGGTGATAGGAAGTTACCGGTTTTGTTTTATATTCATGGAGGTGGATTTTTCAGTGGCTCTGCCAGTCCTCAAGCCGAAGGACCGGAGTATTTCATGGATACAGATGATGTTATATTGGTTGTACCAGCTTACCGTTTAGGCCCATTTGGTAAGAAATACATGGACTGATTGAGCATAACTGATATGCTAGTTCATTTAATTTTTGCTGTCTAATTTATAATATTCTTACATAAATGTAGGTTTCCTTAGTACTAACGACGAAGAAATGCCCGGTAATTTCGGCCTCAAGGATCAGAATTTAGCCCTCAAATGGGTTCAAAAATACATTAGCGCATTCGGTGGTGATCCCGATCGTGTGACTATCTTTGGACATAGCGCGGGTGCTGCAGCTGCACATTATCACTTGTTGAGTCCTGCCTCAAAAGGTTTTGTGTAGATGGATAAAATATGGAAACAAGGGTTTTTTTCTAACCACTTTGCACATTACAGATTTATTCCGAAACGCTATTTTGATAAGTGGCGCCGCAAACTCTCCATTTGCTAAGCCCATTGACAATCAAACATCGAACGTCATTGAATTGGCGGAAGCTGTCGGCATAAGAGACGCTGCATATCTAACTTCGAAAGGTTTAGTAAGGGCTTTACAGAGAATAAATCCAACTAGGCTGTTAAAAGCTGTCGACAAGTTGAAATCATGGAATATCTATCCTTTGCCGACTTTCCATCCAAGCATTGAGCAAAGCTCATGGAGGGATTCATTTTTAACGGCAGATCCATCATCATTGAGCATAGAAAAACCATGGATCATAGGACACGTACCATCGAAGGGCGAAGGCGTGCCCATTGCACTTCGTCTGGCAACAAATCCATCATTGCGCGCTAAATTCAATGCCGACTTTGATAAGTTGTTGCGCACCATATTAGAACTACCAGATACCATTGATGGAGCCGCTTTAAATCTGATAATCGAAAACTATCTAAATGGCGAATATAAATTGAACGACAAAACATTGGATGGCTTTCTTGAGGTAACTAAACAAACAAACTTATACCATTAAAGGGACACATACTTATACGTACTGTTCGGTTAGCTTTTAGGTGATGGAAGTTTTATTTATCCTACCTACAAAACTATTCAATCCCATTTGAATTCTGCGGGTGCGCAGAATCTAAAAGGCATGATAAAGTTCGATTACCGTGGACCGTATTCTTATTCAAAACTATTTACTGACAGCAATAAAAACTTCAGTACTGTGCACTACGATGATGCACTATTCCTGTTCAGGGCATCAAGAACATTCTCAAAGGGTTACACAATAACATCGCCCGAGGCAGCTGTTGTTAAACGTTATGTGGATCTTTATGTGGAATTTGCAAAAACTGGGTTAGTTAATGGGCAAAATTTTGATTTGCAGACTTTAAAATAACGAAGTTATTTCTTTTTAGAAATGTTAAAAAGCTTGAGGCTATTGGCGCATGCACAAAGGACTCGTTTGAGCAAGGCGCCTGTAAATATTTATCAATCGTGAAGAGTCCTGAACTTTTCCAAACCGGCAGCACTTCGAATATTGATAGAATGAAATTGTGGGATGATGTCTACAATGTTGGTACTTCACCGTCACCGTCGCCGTCACCGTCACCGTCACCATCCCCTTCGCCTGACCCCACAGATTCTCCTTCACCGTCACCGTCACCGTCACCGTCACCATCCCCTTCGCCTGACTGCACAGATTCGCCTTCACCGTCCCCTTCGCCCACCCCGGCACCTACACCTACATTTGGAGAAACAACAGGGTAATTCGTTTTTCAAATACAATCCTAGTAATATAATGATGGAACATCACACATAATCTGGGTGTTAGAGTAATAAATAAATACGTTTTCCTTTAACAATCGCATAAACATATTTTGAATTTATGGCTGTCAAGAAAAACCTTTTCCAAAAAGCAGGGACTGAAAATAGCAGTCAATTTTTTTTAACCAAATTTTTTTTAACTACGAAATAAAAGTCCTTTCCTGATAATAAACAAACCGCTAATTCAAATTAAACAAATTTGGTATCAAATGAAAGAGAACTGAAATAGCTTTTAAACAGAAATAACGAACGAAATAACATTACTACTGGGGTTGCCTTTTTGGTAAATTGTTACCAAATAGGGTAGTAAAAATTCGGGTTAGTAAAAAGGTAAATTTTTTTTTCATGTTGGTAGATTTTTGTTGGAAAAAAAATAAAATTTTTCGTTCCCGCTTTATTTTTCGTAGTCATCTTTAAATCATAAATTTCCATAAAAAATTTATATTATTTTTGAACACTTTAAAGCACACTTTTTATATGCATACATACATATAAATGTATATCGATAAAAGGCGAACATATCGTGCTGCATTCAAAACCCATTTTACTGAAATCCTGGGGAGCTTTTGATTGCCTAAATATTTTAAATGATTCTCTAAATAATTAAACACTATGATTGTTGGCAAAAAAAAGTCAACGCCATTTTTTATCTATGGAAAATGTTAAATGGAAAAAACACAAAAAAAACAGCGGAAAAAAATAAAAATCAACGGGAATTTTTAGCTGCACATTGTCGGTTATACTAAAATTCCATGGTAAATAAAACTCCATACCTTAAATTTTTCTAAAGAATCAGAGTATAAATTTTTTCTGAATGTTGCATATTGTTTCAATCGTTTATTTTTATTGATTTGTTTGAGGTGCAAACAAAATTCTTATACAAAAAAAATACCAAAAAACTTTTATGTAATTGAAAAACGTTATGAATATTAAAATAATCATTAAGCCGAAAGGATGCCATTAATATGATCTAAAATACTTCTTCATTAGTTAAACAAAATGTTCTTTAAAAGCAATTTTAATTTTTTTGCAATACAAAAAAAAGATAGAACAAAACAATAGTTTTTATTAAAATAACTAAAACAAGTTATTGGTAGATATTTTCTAGATTTGATCGATTTTTTTCAAGTGGATGGTAAGTATTTTTTTTTTTCGTCAGTGGCAACCCTGGTTACCCAAGATTTATTGTATGGTAATTAAATTACATTTTTATATAAATATTTCTCAAAAAGCGGCTTCTCTCGTTTAGGCATTTAAGTTTTAAAGCTATTCTAGTCCGCTTTCATTTGATACCAAATTTGTTTAACTGTTATTTTCGGTCCCTCCTAAAAAGCCATTGGGTGGTATTTGTACCATCAAAATCTATCGATTGAAACTCAAAATATTAAAAAACCTTGCCATCTGGAGAACACCAGTGGCGTCGTCCGGGGGTGCAGTAGGCGGTTAGATCACCCCTCACATAGCCGGTTTCACGAAAGCAATTTTAATGAAAAATGATAAATTTTAATTTGAAAATTTACAGAAAAAATCATTTTTCACTTAAATTTCTAGTGAAGTCGGCAGTTAAAGTCACAAGCAGACTTCTTTGCTCAAAAATTACAATTTTCGTAAAATTATTTTGTCGAAAGTTGAACTCTACACTAGCCAATAACAATCTTGCGGCATAACTTTTAAGAGTGGACTCCTACAGGATTTTTCCGTAGATTAACCTTTAACTATGTGCATTTGGTCAGCAATATTTCAAATTAAAACGATTTCTTTGGGATAAAAAGAATTTCGGAGAGTAAAAAAAATACTACTTTGATCGTTCTCTAAACCTACATACTTATTTTTGCAGCGTTTTCAATTGTCAGTGTTTACCTTATCTTATCACTTTAACTGAATAAAATGTTTCGAATAGGTGGTAACCCGCTAGAAAGATATTTTCGGCAGTAAACTTTCTTAAACCTCTTTAGTTTGATACCCGTATTGTAATATTTCATTTATTTTATCAATTAAATCAAATTAAAATTTCCAAACAGGTGGCAACTTTCCACAAGAATATCATCAACTGTCAGCCTTCTTAACCCTTAAGTACTGTTGTTGGTCTCTCAGACCACTTCAAAATTTTTAGATTAAAATAAAGATTTCGTTTACGCGCCAATAAATTTCTTGCTACGAATAGCTTTCACCGAGTCAGCAATGAGTTAATTCCAAGGAATGAAACCGATTCAAAATAACGTTGCGGTTTGGGTTTCGGTTTTGCCAAGGGTTTCGGTTTCGGTTTTGGTTTCGTTCTTCAAAATTTATTTCGGTTTTGGTTTCGGTTTCGTTCCGGTTTCGGTTTTTCACAGAAATTTTGTTGATATTATTTAAATCACAATGTCTTAAACGTTGAGGAAAGAAAATCGAAAATTACAGTTCACTGATAATATCAACACTAGGTTCTTTCCCTAACAATCCGGACCGGATTTGGTAATTAGAGAATAAGAGAAACATTTTCTTTCAAAAATGGAACAAACTTCAGAATTACGGAAACGCAAAAACCCACATTTCGTGCCCCCAAGTCGAGAAACAGCTGATTCACGTTGTTCTTGTTTTTGTCACTTATACCATGTTCTGACCGACATCGGAAACATGTTTTCGTTGCTAAAACTGGTTTTCGACCTAAAACTTGTGTTTTCGTCCATATAAAATCTGTTAAACGAAAACCAGTTTTCGCTGAAAACTACTTGAAAACTCACTTTCCACTCATTCCAATCGGTGTCTTCACTAGTTTTTTTCGATTATTTATCGAAGTGGAAGTCATATTTTATCATCTTTAATACGCCATTTCGGATTTATTGTTAATTGCCTGGCCAAAGCAAAATAAGAATGAAAGTTAAAGGTTGTAAATGAAAAGAAAATGAAGGAAAAATGTTTTGGTTGTCGGTCAGAACATGGTATTAAATGCAAACACTTGGAAATTGAATTTTGGTTTCACAAATTTGATTTTAAGTACATAGATTGAAAATACATCAACAGGCCATTCACTTTTCCTTAAAAGCACCAAGTAAATGCAGGCAACATGTAAACACAATGGGCCGTATGAATAAAAACTAAGCAATTGCTTTTCCTTAAAATTTCATACCTTTTACTTCAATTTTGTTTGAATAAATTGAGTAAAAGATCTGAAATTTTAAGAAAAAGCAATTGCTTATTTTTATTCATACGGCCCAGTACAGCTGATATGCACTTTCACACTTTATCCATTTTTACTCGGAGAAAATTTCGGGCTGTTTCGGGCAGGAAGAAGAATACACTTACGATCGAATACGCTCGAATTTTCGCTCTCTATTACCCATTTTGTTGAGTACAGGCATGATTTCTGGGCTATTTTGGGCACACGCGGGATCTCGCATTGCGTACGGGAAAGAAACTACTTAAATATAAGAAATCGATTATCGATTCACAACAACAAAGTCATCAGCAGATTTTTGCGAAAAGTTACCTTGCCATACTTATTTACTACTTAACAAGAATTTTAGCAAAATGTTGCTGATTTTGGTTAAATAAATCATTTATTTCAAAGAAATTTTTATTTATTATTTTTGTAAATTTCTGGAAACCGATTGAAACCTGTGATTGAAATGGTTTCGGTATCGTTCCTTTTCAGGTCAAGATAACGGTTACGGTTTCGGTTTGGGTTTCGGTTTCATTCCTTGGTTAATTCCGGTAGCGTGCAAACATGTGCGGTGAGAAGTGAGGTAGTAATTGCATTTTAATTACTTGCGCGTGGTCTATCAGACCACCAGCTATTTGTCGAATATAAGCATTGACGTAACTATTTTTCTATTGTTTATTAATAGGTTTGTTCGTCGAAAATCCAGCAAGAATTATCCAACACTCAAAATATCAGAGAGTAAGAAAAAATTCTCTCAAATTCTCTCTCATGTTGAGAAAGTTGCAAATTTCTGCACGAACGCAAATTTGCAGGAATTTGCAAGTTTCGCTGCCAGCTGGCGTCCACGGTTGCATTTCAAACATAAAAAATTTTTATAGAATTTTTAAAATTCTTTCGGATGGCCAAAAACAGGATATACATGTATATTTCTTGTTGTTCTGACTTTCTTTGACATACATTTCAATTTCTTCATCGTACTAGCTGTCGGGTTTCTTAAATCGACTCTGGTTGCAATTGCATTCCGATTGCGAATACCATTTTTTTCAGCCGAATTAAGTTCAAATCATTGGAATTAACTAAATTAATTATATCAACAATTATTTACTTCCTTTTTTCATAAAAAAATCGCTCGTGTTTATAAATTTTTAAATTTAACGAACTAATTTATTCAAATTATTGTAGACAAAAATGCAACCATGCGCCACAACCACATGTTTTTCGTGTTTGCAAATTCTTGCTGGCAAAATTTTTTCCAGCAAGAATTTGCAACTTCTCTCCAAGAGAACTGTCACTTTGCTCTCACAATTTTTGAGTGTTGGATAATTTTTTGGTCTGCACGAACGCGATTTGGGCAAAAATCGTGATAATTCGTACAAATTCGTACAAATTTTTTGCTCGACGAACAAACCTAATATCTCCTACCTATCAAAACATATCTGTCAGTGAATTTGGCAGTAATTTGTAATAATTTCTGTAACTTCAAAAATAAATTATTGTAAATTTTTGCATATTTTTTTTTTTTTGATTTTACAATATATCGATGGCTGAGTGGAAGATCGACCTATCTTGGCAGTCAGTTCGAAAACGCTTTATCTTATAAAACTCTTCAAGAACGCCCTACTTCAGAATTTGATTGCAAAACATCCTATCTCAAAATTGTATTGATGAACATCATATCTCAGCTGCCGATTCAAAAACGCCTTATTTCAGCTTATTTTCAATGTATTTTCGTTTGAGATAGAGCATTTTTGAACTTATGAAATCTCAAGTTTTTCAAAATTCGCAAACAAGAATAAT